ATGGCGTGGTTGACCTGAACTGGGCGGCTGAGGTACTGAAAGTGCAGAAGCGGCGCATCTATGACATCACCAACGTCCTGGAGGGCATCCAGCTCATTTCCAAGAAGTCCAAGAATCATATCCAGTGGCTGTAAGTACTGTCCAGTCAGCTGGGCTGGTGGCAATCAGACCAGGCCTGCAGTGGCTTCCCACATTCCTAACAGCTGGGAAACCAAGTCTGAAGAGAGGTGTCTTCCCTGGGGTGATAGAAGGGGAAAGATACACAGACCTTTCAGATCCAGCTCCCTGTAGCTGTCCGAGGTGTCTCATCCAGTAAACACACACACACACACACACACACACACACACACACACCCCTGCTGAAGATTTCCTGTTCCTTTTTGGACCACTGTGTAACCACCATTCCAGCTTTAGCCGTCATCACTGAGGTCGGCCTTACAGATGTTTTAAGTTTTGTTACAACTTCCCCTTGTACCTCCCTCTCTCCCCAGGCATCCTCTGCCCTCTCTGGTACACCAGCCTTCTTGGTTTTTGATAGATCATTCTTCATTCTGTATTGTTTCTCTTCGCTTGACGGTGTGTCTTGGTGGCATTCCATGGCATGTGTGTGGTTTCCTGGCTCCTTGGTGGGGATATGTAGGCGTTGGTTGGCAGACCCGGCACTTTACTAAGCCCTTGCCAGTCCAACTTGGAGCCTCTGGGGAGCAGAGCCAGAGGGGGGAAGAGCTTGCCTACTTCTCACAGAACAGTGGCGGCGGTGGCGGTGGCGGCGGCGGCGGCAGGCTGCCTTGAGTGCCAGGGCTGGTGGATGGGGGGCCTGAGGACTGCTAGCTCTTCACCGGCTTCCCACAGAGGCAGCCACACCATGGTGGGGATCAGTAAGCGGCTTGAAGGCCTGACCCAGGACCTACAGCGACTGCAGGAGAGTGAGCAGCAGCTGGATCACCTGATGCACATCTGTACCACGCAGCTGCAGCTGCTTTCTGAGGACTCAGACAGCCAGCGATATCCTTGACTTGGCCAGGGAACATGGCGGGCAAGCTTGGCCAGTGGTGGCACCACACTGAGACGAGAGAGGTTACCTAGGGCTCTGGATTCTAAAAGATTCTGCATTTGGAAACAAGACCTGGCTTTGCGTTTACTCACCATAGGACACTGAACAGATTACTTGGCTTTTATGGGCCTAAGTTTCATCTGTAAAAGAGGATCGTAATATCCATTTCCATAATTGTACATAAAAAAAACAACTGGATAGTGGTGGCGCACGCCTTTAATCCCAGCACTTAAGAGGCAGGTGAATCACTGTGAGTTTGAGGCCAGCCTGGTCTACAGAGTGAGTTCCAGTACAGCCAGGGCTACACAGAGAAACCCTGTCTTGAAACACCAAAAGAAAAAAAAAAAGAAAGAAAGAAAGAAAGAAAAAGGGCTGATGAGATGGCGTGATGAGTGCAGGTGCTTTTGGCCAACCTTGGCCATCTGAGTTTGAGTCCCCAGTGGAAGGAGGGAACTAACTCCTGCAGGCTGCCTCTGACCTGTACGTGTGTGCACACACACATCCCCTGTGGCATGTGTATGTGTGTACACAAAGACACACAAAGTAATAAGTTTTAAAGTAAGTAAGAACATTTTAAAAGAAGCCCAGAACTGGAGAGTTGGCTCAGCAGTTAAGAGCACTTGTTGCTCTTGTAGAGGACCCAAGTTCAATTCCTTGCATCCACATGGTGGCTCACAGCCATCTGTAACTAGTCCTAGTGCATCTGATGTCCTCTTCTGACCTCTGAAGGCAGCAGCAGGTTCATATGTGGTGCACATACGTGTCGGGAAGACAGTCATACACAGAAAAGTCCAGTGGTACACAACCCTTGGAGGCAGAGGCAAGTAGATCTCTGAACACATACTTCCAGGCTAGCCAAGGATACACAATGAGACCCTGTCTCAACAAAACAAAGGAAAGCCCAGTATTCTGGTGTGTGCTTGTAATCTCAGGACCAGGTATGAGGCAGAAACTGCTACATATTCAAGACTAGTCAAGGCTGTGTAGTGAGACTGTCTCAATAAAAATAATCACAGGCCATGGACTGTACAGTGAGACCTTGTCATCAAAGAGAAAAGCTAGTACCAGTAATGACAAACCTTTCATTAGTCATTGATTTAGTGCCTGATTGCAGCTTCAAAGTTAAGAGTTTTTCATTCACAAAAAGAAACTTCATTAGAATATGTGTTTTTTTAGTGAATACCATTGATTAACAGCAAGATTGTCAAAAGCAGTTTCCATCTCCTAGCCTGGAGACCCGTCAAGCATTTTGTGTGGAATTGTCACAGGCAACCATTAGTTTGGAATTAGATGGGTGGACAGTCTCACTGTACAGATGTGGCAGCTGAAGCTTGGGAATGAGGCTCTGAGCACCTAGTATGTGCTAGGCCTTGTGAAGGAGTCAAGACAGAGTGACTGGGTAGGTGTGGGCCCTGCTCTGTGGGCTGAGTCAGGGGTTCAAAGGTCAAATGCTCCTTGACTCTCCCAACCCTGGCCTATGTGACCTGCCAGGACCTCCGTAGCATAGCGGACCCGGCAGAACAGATGGTCATAGTGATCAAGGCCCCTCCTGAGACCCAACTGCAAGCTGTGGACTCTGCGGAGGTGAGAATCGTGACCCCAGGGCCTGACCAAGACTGGGTGGGCCGGGCTGATGGTCACCTGGGCCTCAGTTTACCCTGCTTGCTGCCTCCACCCAGACGTTTCAGATCTCTCTTAAGAGCAAACAAGGCCCCATCGATGTTTTCCTGTGCCCTGAGGAGAGTGCAGGGGGGATCAGCCCTGGGAGGACCCCGTGCCCGGAGACACCGTCTGGGGAGGACCGGACTGCCGAGCCTGGCACTGCAGGGCCTCCACCATCACCTCCCTCCACATCCCCGTCCTTGGATCCCAGCCAGTCCCTGCTAGGCCTGGAGCAAGGTAGGTAGGGGCAGGTCCTGCTCTCCCATTTGGGCAGGTAGTCATGGCAGCTCCTTGCCTGCCGGGCCATCCCTAACCTGTAATGCCTGCTCTCCCCAGAACCAGTCTTGTCACGGATGGGCAGCCTGAGGACCCCCATGGAAGAAGACCATCTGTCACCACTGGTGGCTGCTGACTCACTCCTGGAGCATGTTCGAGAAGACTTCTCTGGACTCCTCCCTGGGGAGTTCATCAGCCTTTCCCCACCCCATGAGGCCCTTGACTACCACTTTGGCCTAGAGGAGGGTGAAGGCATCAGAGATCTCTTTGACTGTGACTTTGGGGACCTGACCCCTCTGGATTTCTGACAGAAGCCTAGGGAGCCTGGGCGTCTGGAGAATGCCCACCCTGGCTGCAGCTTTGGAGCCTCCTGCCCTGGGCCATCCTTCCTGCCTCATTGGAAAAGCACGATTCATACCCTCTTCTCCGTGCAGTAGCTTCTAGCTCTGGGGTTTGGCTGCTGCCAGATTGAGCAGGCCAAAAGGGGAAGGATTTTGTATGGGGTGTGTGTGTGTGTGAGTGTGTGTGTGTGTGTGTTTGTGTGTGTACCGGGGAATGAAGGTGAACACATCTGTATGTGTGCTGCAGACACATCCTGGTGTGTCCACGTGTGCATGAATTCATGTGTGCGCATGGGGGCGGGGTGGGGCTCTAACTGCACTTTTGGTGTCCTTGCTGCAGAGGCCCTGTGAGGCCCAGGGTGACTGCCTGCTCCCAGAATCCTGTGTGTCAGCCAGGCCAGGTGGGGCAGCTTGGCTGGCTGGGTTTGCAGGGCAGCAAGAGCACTGCTTAAAGGTTTTCCGATCGAAGCTTTAATGGAGCATTTATTTATTTATCGAGGCCTCTGGCAAGCCTGGGGAAGGAGCTAAGGGTGGGAGGGGTATGGGGCTAATGCCCCAACTTCCTACACTCTGAAGCATGGGCAGGGGCCCCTAGCTGGGTTTCCCCCACTTTGCCCAACCCCAAAGGAGCTGAGGCCCAAGCAGTTTATTTATTGGGAAAGCGGGAGGCGGGGAGCAGACTGACAGCCATGGATGGGTTGGAGAGATGGCCCCCTTTTAGGAGGTTGTACCAGCACCCTAGCTGCACCCATGTGGATTTGAGATGGAAAAAGTGGGTGAGGGCCTTCACTGACCCGGTGGACAGGAGGGTGGGTGTGGCCCCTTGTGGTCAGAGTGTGCCTCCATTGTCCTCCCCACCCTCCAAACTGCACTTTGATTTGTTTAACAGTTCTGTTCCCTCCTGCTTTGGTTTTAATAAATATTTTTGATGGTGTTAGGGCTGGGTTTGGGACTCTGCCGATGTGAGGCTAGGGTCAAAGGGAATATGAATACTCAGTTCCCTGTTCCTATCTGATTTAATTTCCTTTCCGTATGTAACCACTTGAGAGGAAGAAAACTGACCCAGTGACTGGTAGGAAGTCATGCATATTATCTAAGTGCAGAAAAGGGAGTGTTAGAGTCGCTTGCTGTGCGCCTTCCGGACATTTCTGAGCATTAGTAAAGATGCAACACACAGTGAACTGTATTTGTGTCAGATGCTTTTGTGTGTGTGTGTGTGTGTCTCGCTGTACGTGCAGCGTGTGTTCTAGGACTGTCTTGCAAGTGAGAAAACCAAAGTTTCTTGGAAGAGGTGATGGGGCTGAGATCTGGGAGAAGGGAGCGGTGACTGGGAATCCAAGAGTGCTTTAAACCCTAAGTCCTTTGAGCAAAGCATTTACAATTCCTTTGGCAATCTTGGGGGCCGCCTATTACTGACAGATGCCCAGAGGTGACGAGCTTGTGGGTTTGACCTGTTATGGCTCCTGCACTTAGAGCTTTGACTGCCTACACCGGACTTGCGGGGAGCGCCTGGTCCTGTAGAACTCCTGGCAGGCTGTCGTTGCCAGTAACCCCAGGGATGGCTCCTTACCCCGCCCCTTTTGGAAGCCCCTTCCAGGCAGGGAAACCGAGGCCAGGTGGGGGCGGGGCCACGCTTGAGCCAATGGGCGCGCGCCCCGCCCCCAGCCAGCCTAGGCGGCCTGGGAACCGCAACCCGCAGCCTTGCGAGCCTCCGAGCCATGGCGTGCGCTGGGTTGCTCGCTGTGTGCTTGCTCCGGCCACCCGCGCCCCAGCCGCCACGACACCCCGCGCCTGCCGCGGGACACGCGCTTTTCCAGGATGTGAGTAGGGCTCCGGTGGGCGGGTGCAGGGCTCCCCAAGTCTCCGTCCTCCGTGTCTCTGTCTCTCCCTCCACATCTGTTTGGTTCTGCCTGCTCCGGTCCCTCTCCCAGATTATCTGTGACCCTGCTATTCTCTTTGTGTTCCTCTGATTGTCTGCCTGCCGCTCCGCTCCGTGTCTCTCCTTGTCTCCACAATAGTGTTACTGTCCTCCACCCCAAATGTGCCCAGTGGGGCTAGGGGCTGTCAACACTCAGTCACAGCAGACATCACTGAGCTGCTCCACTGCAGCCCCTGCTGGGCTGATGGGCCATGGGAACCTCTGGACCTAGAAGGAGCTCTGTCCTGCCCCAGAAGCCTCAGGCCTGACCCCGAGGGTGGCAGAGTCCTACAGTTGGTAAGGGACTCCTCTCATGGGCAGCAGGTGGCAGCGCTGAAGCCCCCTTGTGTGGCTACAGAGCATCCTGACCCGACTCAGCCACCGCTCTGAGCCCCCCACCCCACCTTTAAAAAAAAAAACAAAAACCTTTTACTGATGTGCTCAGCCAGTCCTGGCCCTCTCCTGCCCCCACTCCAGAGGTCCTTGCCAAGGGGAGAGGTTGTGCCCCCTCCCCAATGCCCTAGTGACTCAGCACCTTGACCACGGTCCTTCAGGCCTGAGGAGACATGTTCCAGGTCACAGATGGAGTCAGGGGCACAGTAGGATGTGCATGAAAGTGTCTTTATTCCAAGCTTAGCTCTCCTGTCCCACCCCCATTCCAGTTACCCCAGCCAGGCCATACTGAGCTGCTGTGTGATCCCAATCTAGTAGCAGGCCACCTCGGAGTCAGCCTAAGGGTTACATTAGTTGTCCAGACCAGTGACTCTGAGGGACTTGGGTGGAGAGTTCAGCAGCCAGGACCCTGGCCTGTGGGGGTTCTGCTCAGGCCTTGAACCCGATGCCCTTTGCCTGGCTGCTTTGGAGAACTGGTTCCTAGAAGGGGCAGGAACTTGAGTATGCTGCTGTGTCTGCTTCATCACTGCCTCTGCAAACAAAATCGGCTGACCCTTCCGCCCTCCTTGCCCCTCACACAAACGTGTATGCCCAGATGCCCAGTCTTTATGGTGAGATGGCCTCTTCCCGAGCTTTGAAAGGGTTAAACTCAGGCTACTCCCTCACTACTAGTGGGCAAACCAAAGCCCCCACAGAGGGGTGGCCGCTGCCCGCCAGCCTTCAACAGGCATGAGGGAAGCGCCTGTTTAGTGAGGGTGGGTGGAGAACGGAGGGGACTGTGGGAGGACACACGGGAGAGTCGGGGTTCGGGTCTGAGGAGGCTTCCGTGGCTCCTCAGGATGGAAATTGGTCCATCTGTCCAGGCTTCCTCAAGCTGGGACCATGCCAAAGGCTGATACATCAGCGCGAACTCAGGCTAGACTCCAGCTGTGGGACAGAGTTGCCCAGGAGCTCCCACCCACTGTGACGCCTCCCTCAGCAGGAGGGAGCCAGCATTAGGACTTGCTGGGCCAGCTTCCTGGGCTACCTTGCTGGAGACTCCTGCAGGACTGCCCTAAGCAGGAGGGAGGCAATGCAGGGGAGCTGGCTGGCCAGCTGGGGCCCCATTGGCCTGGGAGGGGGACTCCTACCTCTCTGGCTCCACTCACAACACCCACTCATTTCCCTTTGTCCCCTAGGTTTTTCGCAGAGCAGACAAGAATGGTGAGTGCGGCTTCTCCCCTTTGGGTCCCACACCGTGGGGTGTGTGTGTGTGTGTGTGTGTGTGTGTGTGTGTGTGTGTTGGGGGAGGGGTGAGGCAGGGTAGGAGAGCTAGGGACTTGGAGGTACAGCCCAGAGTGAAGTCTTGAGACCCCCAAATGGGAGGTCAAACAAGGGACACTGCCTAGAGAACAGATGGTGTGCAGACTGGGAGCAGGGAAACGTGGTGACCTGAACCTGGAGGTGGGGGGCTTCTATTAAGCAGTACTTTAGCTCAGTGACGGGTGCTTGCCCAAGACCTTGTGATGTCCTTACAACAGCTTGCTAGGTGGGAATTCCTCATTCCATCCCACAGGCAAAGGAATAGAGGCTCAGAGAAGAGCATCAATTGTCGAAGCCTTTAATTGGTGGGTCTGGGATACAGATCTGTGTGATACATCACCCTAGACCCCCTGGACTAGGTGGTGGGGCACCCATTCAACCTCCACTTTCCTTCTCCTCCCTGGGACTACAGACTCGTGTCTCAGCCTCCTTGTGTCCCCACGTTTGTTCTTTTGTGAGCCTCCAGACTGGTGGGGACCATTGATTTTAAGACACATGCTCTCAGTGCATTCTGTGGCAGAGACTCCGGCCCTCCCCAGCTTTGCTTATCACTCAGACCAAATCCCATCATCTTTAACCATCTTGTTCCTCTGCTCTCTGCTTACATGCTCCCTATGACGGGAAGCTCATTCTCATCCGAGCCAGTCTGCTGCTTTGTAGAGTCCCACTGTTAAAGGGACTCTACAAAGGTCACCTGCTTCTGTGACCTGGGGTAAGGCTAGTCTATGGGACCAGGGGCTATGTCCCTAAGTCCTAAGCCATGCTCTGGTGTGCCCCGGCTGCTCACTCATATTTCCATTTGGCTGATATTGAGTCAAATGCATCCTGTACAAGGTGGGTCTTGTTTCCTACAGCATAGACTTTTGGGAACTCTTGTCCTTTTGTCCAAAACAGTTAGGACCACCACTAAGGTCAGAACCCTGCCTGGCTGAGTGAGCGTGAATGCTGTCGGGCCTTTGGGGAGCCTGGATCTAGGGACAGGATGCAGCCAGGACCCAAGGACACCAACTCCATGCCTTGTCTCTCCCCAGATGATGGTAAGCTCTCATTTGAAGAATTCCAGAATTACTTTGCTGACGGGGTTCTCAGCTCAGCGGAGCTGCGGGAACTGTTCAGTGGCGTCGATGGGCATCTCACCGAGTGAGTACCACAGAGGACGGTTTGCCGTGCAGTGCCTGGCCAGGTTGTCCCAGCCCACTGTGTTCCCTGCTGTCACGGCTCTTTCTGGAGGCCAGGGGGTGGGGGGAGACGCCGGGGCCCAGTGCCAACTTTATCCACCCACCTACACCTTCTTCAGCTCCAGCCTTGTTGCTACACTGCTTCCAGCTGGGACCCCAGAATAACCAGGCTTGAGTCACCACCCGTGATCAGCCCTTCCATTCCCATGCAGAGGATGTCTGAGGACAGCTGGGTTCTGCCTGCCTCCTCCTGTGGATGCAGGTGCAGGAATACACATCTTCCCACGTGTCCATAGACACACATCTGGTTCAAGTGTACACTCCTTCCCTGCTGCTTCGCCTGGGGACACACACACACCATGAACGTGCACAGCTGCTCCTCCCCCTCTCCCTTCCCCTCCCCTCCCCTCCCTTCTCCTTAGTGTATATATCCCAGACTAGATCAGCACTCAAGGCTTCAAAGGCCTGACCCTTTGAAGTGCTTCTGCCCCCTCCCCCACCAAACAGAGACCATGTCAGGCCGAGTAAAAGGGACAGGGACACTGGCATCTCTGTTCAGTTCACCAGGCGCAGGTTCTAAGAGTCTGAAGGATGTTTTCTCTTTCCCTCACAGCAATTTAGAAACAGAGAAACTGTGTGGTGAGTAGGCCTATGCTGGCCCTTGAGTCTCAGCCCCTGGGCAGGTGGGTGTGGTGAGGGATGCTTCGTGGGCTAGTCTCATGGGATAGGAAGGTTGGGGCAGCTGAGGAATTCCAGACTGGAGAGATGGTGTGGGCTGGATCCCTTGAGCACCTTTTCTGCCTACAGACTATTTCTCCAAACACCTGGGTGTCTATCGGCCTGTGCTGGCTGCACTGGAGTCCCTGAACCGGGCGGTGCTCACTGCTATGGACACAACAAAGCTGGTGAGTCCCGGAAGGGCCTATGGGAACTTGAAATGATGGCCTGGTGGGACTCTTTCCTGCTGTGGCTCAGGGCTGTGGAAATGGAGCTTGGGTTCAGATTCTGGTCTTCCCACTTAATGACTACCCTTTACTCCCTGATCCGCAGTTTCCTCATCTGTAAGCCAGAGGTGATAATGAACAATTAGTGGGTCATGATGGCTCACACCTGTAATCTAATACTCAGGAGACAGCAGCTGTCAGTTTCAGGCCAGCCTGACTAGAGTGAGACCCTGTTGGGGGAGGAAGAGGCAGAGATCTAGTGTTTTGTTCTTTGCTCTGTTCCCAGTACCCAAAACAATTCAGCCAACATAGTAGGTTTTTGTTGGCCTGATGTAATTGCTGGGAGCTCTTAAGCCAAGATCTAGCAGGTATGGGCTAGGACATAGATGAGTGCATACATGTCCACAGGTGCATGGAGCCTATGAGGCAGGGCCTAACCCCAGGACATGTTAGAAGGCAGGGGTGTATATATACGCCTACCAGTTTGTTGGCCTATATTATAACCTGTGTAGACAAGTATTGACAGCCAGGGCTCCAGACCCTTAGTGACCAAAACCAAAACCAAACCAAACCAAAAAAACCAACAACAACAACAACAACAACAACAACAAAAAACCCAAAACAAACAAACAAACAAACAACCCCCCCCCTCCCTTTATGTGTTAAGAACTGTCTCTGCCAGGATTAGGTATTACCTTATACTTTCTTCTTTTTGGAGATGATTTCTCTGTGTAGCCCTGGCTGTCTTGGAACTTGCTCTATAGGCCAGGCTGGCCTTGAACTCACAGAGAACCACCCGCCTCTGCCTCCTGAGTGCTTGGGATTAAAGGCGTGCAGCGCCACTGCCTGGTAGTAGCTTACACTTTTAACCCCAACGCTTGGAAGAGGCAGGAGAACTTGAGACTGAACCCAGACTGGGCATATAGTTGAGATCCTGTCTCAAAAACTAGAGCGAACTGCTCCCCCTTCTGGGGGTGGTGTGAACAGGTCTGGGGCCTTACCTGACTCTCCGTTTTGTTTGTTTTTGTTTTGGTACGTGAGGATAGACCCTGAGATCTTGCACATGCTAATCACTGCCCTCTGACCCCACTTTCTACAGACCAGGGAAAACTGAGAGCTTCAAGGGTCACCCGAGCACACAGCTAGGGACAGGCTTCTCGTTCCCTCATGTAAGGGTTAGTTTTTCCAAGTGTTGGTCTTTGAGCCTGGCCCTGCTGGAGTGACGTTCTCTGAACTGGTGGTTTGGGTATGAAATGAAAGTGAAATGAGGGTCAGTGTTAGCCCCCAAAGGGCAAAGGGCAGCCCATCCACATATAAGCCCGCCAGTTGCAGCTGCAAACACTTCAATCTGTTTATCCGATTCTCCATGTTAGGACAGCATTGCCCCCTCGGTTCCGGCAGTACCCCCTGGTGGCACCGTGCATTCTGTTTCAGTAGAAAACTCAATCGAACACTTCTCGCACCAGAAAAGGGCCAAACTCCTCGTACATGGCCCTCGTCATCCAGCGGCACTGAAAGGAGTGCAAGGAGGCCATCATGGAACCTCCAGTCCACACAGCCGTGCTGCGCCCAGGCTGAGCCACCAGGCAGGCCCGGTACCCATGCTTCCGGCACTGTGCCTGTAGCTCCAGATTCATGCGCTCCACAAAGCCGGGGAAAAGGGTGGAACCACCAGCCAGCACCACCGTATTGGCCAGCCGTGTCCGCAGTGTAGTGGGTATCTTCTGCAGTGCCTGGAAGGCCAGTGTGGGCAGTCCTGGCTCCGAGTGGCCTAGGAGACTTGGCTGGAAGAGGGGTTCAGGGCAGCGGAAGCGCTCGCTTCCGAGGTTGACGTAGCAGCCATTGCCCAGGCAAAAACAGGCCCTCTGGTGGCGGGCAGGGTCACAGATGTCACCCTGGAAATCCAGGGACACATAGCAGCAGCGTTTCTTGAGCTGTGTAACGGTCTTGCGGGGCAGAGCCTGCGGGGGAAGATCAGGAGATGCTGTCACCAGCAGGTCTCGAAAGTAGCGCGACAGGGTGCTGCCTGCCACGTTCAGACTGAAGGTGGCATTGTGCCATGAGTGACCTGCGTAGACGGGTGTGGCGTGGCACACGCCTGCGCCCGCCTCCACAGCCAGCCCACTGAAGGCTCCGGTGGAGCAGAGTGCCAGCAGTGCCGTGCTGGCCATGTGGCACGCGGGTACTGTCAGGGCCTCGAACAGCAGTTCAGCCACCTTTTCTCTGCCCTCCGGGGGTGCTGATGGCGAGTCGCTCACCAGCACAGGCCACTGCTCCGGGCGAACCTGCAGGCATCCCACCATTAGGCGCTCCCACAGTCCCTCCAGGGCGTCCCAGTCCACCACCACGCCGTGCTTGATGGGGTGTGCACGCGCCACGCCTCCCGCCAGCTCGCAGCCGGGTGCTCCGGGCAGCACGGGCCGGTCCCAGCTTGACATCAGACTGGAGCTCTTCAGCACAACACGCGGCTGGATCTCCCCCGCGAAGCCTGCCTTGGTGAAGCCCGAGCCTTGGTCTACCACCACCGCAACGTGGTCCAGTGAAGGCAGCCTGTGGGCGCGGCGGGTCCTGTGCGCCGACGCCACCTTCTGGGCTCAGTGTGCCCCAGAGCCCTGAGGGCCTTCCGGGCAGATAACCAGCCCTCAGTTCTCAGCTCCGCCTCTGACTACGAGGCCCCGCCTCTTAGAGTGGCGGTTCCTTTTTGTGGCTCCACCCCAAAGCTGGGATGTGGCCCTCTTGGTCAGTACTTAATTCCTCCTTAGGGTCCCCGAGTCCCGGCTTCCTAGGAAGTCTCTTGGCAGGTCACCTAGCTAGGCTAGAGAGTTACCTGGCTGTGGAGGTGGGAAAGAATAGTTCGAGAAGAAAGGAACTTAGATTGGGCTCATTATGACCTCAGTCTGGTCGTGCTCCCCACCCCCTTCCTCCTGCACGGGGCTGGTGGCCGCCATTTGGGAGCCCATAATAGGGGCCTGGCTGACCAACACAGCCTGTTAGTCCTTCCTCCCCAATGCTTGGAGTATCTGTGTACTCCAGCCACATGTGCAGCCCTTCTGCCTCAGATCTCAAGAGAAAGCTCTCAACCACACGTCTACGGCTACAAGGACGACTTCCTTATGCTCAGCCCTGATAGCCACACAGGGGGTCTGGCCTGACCCCTTCAGTTCTGAAGTTCACATAACCTTCACAAGTCCAAATCCTTGGGTTTTGGTTTTTTAAAAGATTTATCTATTATGTATACAGTGTTCTGTCTATATGCCAGAAGAGGGCACCAGATCTCATTGCAGATGGTTGTGAGCCACCATGTGGTTGCTGGGACTTGAACTCAGGACCCCTGGAAGAGCAGCCAGTGCTCTTAACCACTGAGCCATCTCTCCAGCCCCCCAAATCCTTCTTTGTGGTGTTTCTTCCTCCAAAAGGTAGCAATGAGCCTCACCTCCTGAATAGACTTATTTTCTTTAGGACCATTTACACATAGGACTCAGATGCACTTAAGCTAAAATAAGGATCACACAGATATTGGGTGTTTTCTGGATCACAAGGACGAAATGGGTCTTAGGAAAAGAATCTAACCATAGGGTTGTGGTTAACTGGGAAGATCTCTTCAAGTTCCTAATTACAGTCCTGGGGAAGGGGATGATAGAACCACTTTGGACCAAGCGTGCATGTGCTGAGAACCCTTCGGCAGGGCAATTACCTCTCAAGTAAATAGGTGCTATGCTGTGCATAGGTCACACATTTTCCAGCATGATTCAAGCTGTGGACAGTGACAGAAGTACATCCTTAAGTCCATGGCTTATGGGTCTAGTGGGCTGAGACCTCATCCTGCTTCCTCTGGCCCCGGGGGGAAGCATTCTGAGTTAGTCATCAGTGTGAGGCAGGAAAGTCAACTCAGTTTTTATTTTCTGAAGCAATCTGTTGTACTGAACTCAAGACCCTCCTCCCCCATCCTCTTGAGTGCTAATATCACCCCAGCTGGCCTACAACTGGAGACAGACGCTTTAGAGTCTATTCTGGAAGCTGGGTGTGGGATCCAGCCAGCTGCTGGCTTCTGCCCAAGCATGCTGCTCCTCTGGGGAGTGATGCAGGAGTAGGCCTGACACTGGAGACCACTGGTGCCATGTCAGCACGGAAGAGCATGGGAAAGCACTGAGAGGGCTAAGGGAAGGCACTGGGCAGCTGAGTGCACAAGCCAATTTTAATTTTAGCCTTGGGCTTTAGTGGGGATAGTGGAGAAACTGGGAACTATGAGCAGGGAGAATGAACTGCCTCAGACAGATTAGTAGTTTGGAAGAAGCTTCTGGCTACATGTGGGGTAGAGAATAGAACTGGGTACCTCGGGAGGAAAGCGCTTTGACTAAGAGACCTTAAAATTTGAGGAGTTGAATGCTTGGGAGTTACTGATCACTGTCAGGCAGGAAAGAGTGACCAGAGGCTCAAACCCCTCTTCTTGAGTGTGTTGCCATAGGCAGAATCTGAGGTTCCACACCACCATGGCTGACCAGCCTAGCTGTTCTTCCTGGTATGATGTCTGATAGCAGCCTGGGACTCTCCCGCCACCTAAGAGGGATTTTTGAACGTTGAGGACTCTTGGGAGACCTCAAGCCTTTGCTAGAAACAGGTTCTTTCAAGCGTAGCCAAGTATAGATTATTTAAGCTCACCTTGAGCCTGTAGATCTGGCATGAGCTGACCTTTGTGCTACAGAGATAAGTTAAAAGCAGCCCTAGCTCCAGGTCGTGGTGGTGGCTGTGTTAAGTACCTACTCACCCGGGGCCTCAGCTTTGACCCTGGATCCGACGGCAGGGACAGAGGTGGCAGACGCCCAGGTTGCTATGTGCTCTTTATTGAGCAGAGCCCTGGCGCTGGGGGCCTCGTCAGGCACTCAGGGCCGCGGGCGAGGGCAGCGGCGCCGCTTGCGCGGCTGCTCCTCGCGGGGGTCGCCTTCACCGCAGGCTTCGCGGTGGGTCAGCAGATGCGCATGCAGCGGCTGCCAGCCCTGCGGGGCCTTGGCCCCGCCCCCCCGCCCGCCTGCCCCGCGACGCCCTTCCTCCTGCAGCCGCGCGTCCAGCTGCAGCAGCAGCACCAGGATCCTTTTCATCTCCCGCGCGCGCGCGCCTTCGCGCCTGTCCACGCCGTCGCCTGCCCCACGCAGCATGGGCGCCACCGCCGGGAAGCATGTCGGGGCGCCGAGCGCATCCTCAGCCGGCCGCCCGGGCCGCACATACGGGCCCGCTGCTGCCTCGGCCAGCTGCTGCCGCTTATCCAGCGGGAAAAGCAGTACGATCTTGGTCTGGGGGTGGGCGGGTTTGAGGGGGAAGAACGCGCCCTGGCAGGGTCTGAAGCCACTCCCGCGCCCCTGGAAGACCCAACCTCCCGAACCCCACGGTGCCTTCAGGGCCGTTCACCCCGCACCCCGGGCCCCTGCCTCCTCACAGGAACCCATCGTCCACCCTAGGCCGATCCACTGCGTACTTTCCCAGCCTTGATGCGGGGGTTCTCACCCACCCGGGCCGAGTCAGGGGCCTCTCGCCATTGAAAGAAGGGGAAAGTGACGTGTTGTGAAGCTGTGGGCTGGAGGAGAGAGGGAGTAAAGGATATTCCACATCTGTGGTCCCAGCGACACCATGCCTGACCCGTGGTTAAGAGAGCCCCGCCTTCTGCTCTTGCTTCTGGGACCCCTAGACCGCCTATATGGGCTTAAGGGCCCTCCTCCTCTCATGCCCCTGGGTCTAAAGGCACAGACTCTAGCACCCACCATCCTCTCGGGCCTCCCCGTTCTCACACTTGGCTTCTTCCGCTTGAGGTGGCTGAAGAACTGCTTGTGCCGGGCCTTCTCCATGCCAGGCGGCCTGTCCTTGCTGGCCTGACTGGGTGCTTTGGTCCTCTTGTGGGAACTGCTGTTTCCCATGGTAGGACTGTTCACTAGAGGCCACTGCCCATGCTGCCTCGGCCCTGCCCTCTACCCAGGGGCCCGTTTGGCCCCGCCCCACCAAGTGAACAGCATTGTGAGCTCACAAGTGACCTCACCGCACCGAAGCTCGGCTCCCCCTTGGAACCCCCTGTAGTCACTGTCTATGACCTCTTCTGGTCTCAGCTTCCCAGCTGCGGAGAGGGAAATCTCTGTGGCTTTACTTTGAATCCTGGCCTGCCACTAATTTGATGCTTAACCTTGGCTAAGGTTCAACCTCTCAAGGCCCCAGATACCAAATGGAGTCAACTATGGTTCCTACAAATTATGATGGTTAAATGGAATTCTTGGGATGAGTCTGGCATGGGGTGGGTGGTTCTGCCAACCAGGTTTTTTGGTTGCAGAGCAGCAGAAAATTGATCAGCTCTCTTATACCTCAAAGGGAAGTTACTGAAAAGATGTCATGGCAACAGAACCCCCAGTCTTCAGAACAGGCACCAGGCACTATTCTATCCCATTTGTTTTAAGTTTGGTCCAGAAGGTACCATCTTGGTTGAGCCAAGGCAGGTGACAGGCAAGAAATGAAGCTCATGACAGATGGTGCTGTGAGGCCTGGCTCTTCATGGCTCCCCAGGATTCCCAGCTTAGGTTTGGGAGTGTGGTGGGGGTGAGGACTTCTAAGGCATCCTGACTGTCCAGGTATGTAGCTAGGCAGATTACTAACGATCTGTTCCACAGTAGTAGTGGCATTTTCAGACTGAGAGCTCTGACTGCGGGCACTAGGCTTAGCCCTATGTAGCAAGTACCTGAGGGGACCTCAGTTCAGTCTGGTGGAGAAATGGATGCACAAGGAAAGCAGCCGAGGAGTGTGAGTATCCCAAGATGCAAGGCCAGCCTCCCTGTTCAAGGAACTGAGGGGAGGCTGGCTGTGTGGACTGGGGTCAGGTCAGGCGTGTGTGTGTGTGTGTGTGTGTGTGTGTGTGTGTGTGTGTGTGTGTGTTCAGTGGCCTGGATGTCTCGAATATGTAGCGTTTAGCAAAATCCATGCAGTAAATGTTGGTTACATAGATTGGTGAATGGAATAATGAGAGAACAAACAAATGCATATGCAGATTGTGAGTTTGGGTCCAGAAGGTCAGAAAGAAGCCATATCACACATCATTTGTACCAAGTGTAAAACTGGCCTTACTGCCCTGCACCTTCACCCTGTCTGGCTGTGCCCAGGAGCATCACTGGCTGTGGCAAAGATGCCGATGAGTCTTAACAGAGAAGAGAAATTGAGATCCAGGAAAACCAGTGTCCTGGTGGGCTGTGATCCATATGAGTCAGCTTCATACCTGCCAGGATGAAAAAACCCCAGTCCAGATCAGGAAAGGGGCCTTAGAAGCTGGGCACAGAGGTGCCCACCTTTAATTCTAGTACTGGGGAGGTGTAGGCAGGATGATCATGAATTCAGCCTGTGCTAAAAACTAAGACCCTGTCTCAAAACAAAACTAGAAAGAGAGTGACAGCCTTGTGTTGGGCCTGCACACCCTGCATCTTCCACTTTTGCTGCTGCTCTGATGAGCAGGACACAGGCAGACAGCAAGGTAAGCTACCTCTTCAATCACACCTCTCCGCCCTGCCCACAGGAGTATGAGCAGGCCTCCAAGGTGGACCAGTTTGTCACACGATTCCTGCTTCGAGAGACTGTGAATCAGCTCCAAGCCCTGCAGAGCTCCCTGGAGGGGGCATCAGACACCTTGGAGGCCCAGGCCCGAGGTCAGCGGTACGTGAGAGTGCTGTTGGCCTGCAGTCTGGTGTGTGAGTGATTGTTCCTGCATTCCAAACTCTGCAGTGCCATGGTCCACCCAGCTGTCTGGAGGCCACCTTCTTGGCAGGGAGTCCATGAGCTGGTGGTTTAGGGGCTGGGCTTCAAAGACCTAGGAGACCTGTCTTGCCCCACCTAAGCTTGGTCCTGTGCAGGAATCCCAGTCCTTGACCCTATGGGTCTAGGGATAGCAGGCTGACCTATTTTCTAGGTCCGATGAAGAAAATATGGAAGTGCAGAGTAGGTCCCGGAGCAGCCGGCGGGCAGGACGCAGAGCCTTGAGGAGCATCAGCTGGTCACCAGCCTGGTCTCCTGGATCCTCTGACACAGGTGTGCTTGTGGCAGGGTAGGATTTGGTGGCACAGAGTCCAGGGAAGATGTGGTATCGCCTATTCTGTCAGGGCTTTGCTCTGCCACTGTTCCCAGTTCACCCTGAGAGGACTCCCAGCTTCAGGGGCCGCTGGCTGATGTCCTCCTGGTCCCCCTGTCAGGGTGGACTTCAGAGGCCGAGCAGCAGTGGCGGCTGCAGGTCAACCGCCTCCAGGAGCTCATAGACCAGCTGGAATGCAAGGTACGTGGCTGGGGGGCCAGTGCCCCTCAGGGAGGACTTCTGTGGCACCTGCCCACACCAATACATGTTAGAGGCTTGGCCTATAGTCTGTGTCCCTTGCAGGCACCCCGGCTGGAACCCCTGCATGAAGAGGACCTTGCCAAGGGTCCTGACTCGGTGAGCTTGGGAAGGAGTACCCAGGAAGAAGGGTAATGGCTCTCCACTCAGACCTGGTAGGCAGGTGCTGGTGCTTGCTCTATGACCTTAGTTCTTCTGTTCTCTGAAAGTCAGGCCTGAGGTAGGGATGGAGGGTAGAGGCACAGCAGGAGGTGGTACAGCAGAGGGAGTCAATGGCTCTCCTGGAGGATGGAGTCAAAGATGCTGGGAGGTCTTGTTGGTTGTGGGGACCATCCCACAGGGGGCAGATCTGAACCCTATTAGAAGGGCGAGGTTCTACTCTGAGGCCAGCTTGCCGCAGTGACTAGCTGCTCTCTTGCCAGCACATCCTTGTGGCGCAGAGGCAGGTACAGGTGGCAGAGGATGCCCTGCAGGATTTTCATCGTGCCCTGTGCTGCTACATGAACTTCACAGGGGCCCAGAGCCATTGTCTGCAGTGAGTCCCTGACTAGCCAGTGGGGTGGCTGAGGGGGGCAGGAGTGAGCAGGGGGGGGACGGTGGGCTGGGTACGCTGAGCAGGGCTCCCGTGAGACCCTTGGCAGGTAGGCAATGGTGGTCACTTCCTGGTCCAGCCTGGCTCCCTCTTTGGCTCTGCAGTGTGTCTGCCCAGAAGATGCTAGACCATGCTGCCTTCACCCTATATGAGTTCTGGCAGGATGAAGCCTCCTGGAGAAGGTGAGTGGTGGATTAACATCTGACACTAAGAATGGGCTCTGGAGGGGTTCAAACCAGGTTCAAGTCCTATTTTCTTGCTCACTGGCTGTGCAACTTAAAATAACTTATCTAACACATCTGGGTCCCAGATGTGTAAAGAATGAATGCAAATTAGGTATTGAGTGCATGCCTGCTGTATCAACACTGAAGGTAGAGGCAAGAGAGCTCAGAGTTCAAGGCCAGCCTGGGCTACAAAGCAAATTCAGCAAAGCCCCATCTCAAAACAAACAAACAAACCAAAACCACAGATAAAATAACACAAGTTGGCCATGGTGGCACAAACCTAAAATCCCAGCACTTGGAAGGCAGAGGCAGGAGGATCAATGATTTAAGGCCAGCCTGGACTATATATCTAACACGACGCTGTCTAACATAAACTCAGTGTATGCCCCCTGTGCTAGGTGCCTTCATTTAGTCCCTGCAGTAGTCTAGTGATGTAGGTACCTTGTTCCCATTTTACTGAGGGGGAAGACAGAGGGTAGAACCAGCAGAGGAAGGGTTGGTGTCTGCGTGCAGGCAACAGGACTAACCTTGGGTAACCCAGAGCACTGACCTAAGAGTAGAGGGCTGCAGCCTCTGTCTCTCCCATGGCCCTTCCAGGCACCAGCAGTCGCCCTGCAGCAAGGCCTTCCAGCGCACCCTCATCGATCACCTGCAGGTCCCAGACACCCTCACCACTGTGTTCTTCCCAGGTGCGCGTTACCCTGTGCTCCAAACAGCCGTGGGGGCAGACCCAGGAGGGGCAGCCCCCACATAACTCCTAACCCCCCAACCTCTCACCCACAGCCTCCTGGTGGATTATGAATAATAACTGAGTTGGGTCTGCTTAAGCTGGTGACTCTGCAGCCTATCACTCTAGAACCTTCTGCGTTGGTCAACTCGACACTAAGACCAAGGAGCCTGCCTATTCTCAGGCCGAGGGCCTGATGAGCTGGTAGAGGGTTTCAACACAGGGGTTAGGGTCTGGGCTGCTTGCTTCTTTATTTCTTTTACTGTTTGTAGCTTCCAAGCACCCGGGCTTCTGCCTGACCTAGGAAGCCCAGATTCTGGTCCCCCTTTCCTCTGCCTTGCTGTATGACCCAGGCAGATCCCTTCCCTCTCTGGCTGCCTAGGGGTGTCCTGCTTTCTGCTTGCTGTTTTGGGGTTAGATTTCTGTTCTTCCTCAACCAGTGGCAGAACCAGGGCTGATGCTCAGGGACCCCCTCAAACCCTGGAACCTTGACTCCCAAGGCTAGGCCAACTCAGTCCATAGTGCAGAGTAGAAACCTGGGTGTTTATCACACTTCTGGGTCAGCCCTAGAATTTCTAGCATCAGTGGCTGTACCAGAGACCTCTGGAGGATCCTGGGTTGGTTTGCATGTCATCTGCATATCATTTGCATGCTCTCACCCCACCCACTCTCAGGGCATTATGAGAAGCCCCAAGAAGACCTTGCAGAGTAGCAATAATTTGTGCCTAGAGTTCCCTGTTGCCCCCAGAGATCTCTGAACCCAAGTGTGGGACCCCAGCACAGAGGCAATAAAGTTGGTGGTCGCTTGTGGTGTTGCCTCTGTCTGTCTGTCTCTCTTCTCTCTCTTGGTCAGGCCAGGCTTTCCTGGCCACCTATATGAGGAACTCAGGGAAGGAAGTTTCAGTTGGTTCCCAGCTAAAGCTGCCTCACAGGCAGAGGAAGCTTCATCATCACTCTCAGCTCAAGGCTACACCCCAGACCCTGCTTCCAGAGCCCTGCCTGAGAAAGATGAATGAGAAGTCCAAGCTCAGCTCCACCCTACAGAGCCTTCTCGGTGTTCCTAAGAGCAGGTTGGATTCCTGAGTGGACCTATTTCATGCCAGAACCTGCCAAGCTAGCCTGTCCTCACCACTGTCTCCTAATAGCATATCCAGGAATCCTACCAGCCATAGCAAGGCAGGGGAACTCCTACAGGACAAGACTGAGAAGTAACTAACGGGACACCTTAAGTGATGCTCTATAGGAAGGAGCATGGTACCACAAGAGCACGGAATGGATGTCACCTGTCTCACATGTGAGGATCCCAAGCTCTGAGTGGCAACTCCAGTTAACCAAGGGAAGCCAAACAAAGGATACCGAGGCCAGGGGAAAGGGTACCAAGACCATCCTGGGGGTACAGCTGAGGAGGCAGGGCCCTTAAAGGAGCTTCACTGTGGAAGCTGCAGTAGGTTTGAAGCCAAGGCTGGTGGCCAGGGTCTTAATGCTGCTTTATCCATGTCCCTGTGTGCCTGACTGCCGGATTCTTGCTGGATGCTGGGGTGTGGCCAGAAAAGCATCCCTGTGGGCAAGAGTGCAGATCTGGCCTTCGGGCAGCGTCTTTTCTGTGGTTCTCCCTTGAGGCTAACACCTGAACCGGCAGGCTCCAGAATGTGCTACCAATGTCTGTTCCACATGGACCCTGGGCCTCCTTGGGGAGGTTTGTTACCCACACTGTGGTTTCAGTGTCTCCTTCCAGAGGGAACCAGTGTGTGAGGAATGATCCCTGCTCTCAGTCCTCCAAACCAACAGTAATAACAAACCCCCACAACTAAGGCATGAGCGGCAGCAGACATGCTTGCAGTGGACAAGCCTTGGGATCCACAGAACAACAAGGGAAAAACCCACATCACCAAAACCCATCACCGTCTGTGTGTTGTGTGTATGTATTGGCCAAGGACAACCTGGGGTGTGGTTCCTCAGGTTCTAGTTTAATGCTTTTTAAAAATAAGGGTTCTGGGGATTGAACTCAGGTTGTCTTAAAAACTTTACTGACTGAGCTAGCTCACCAGCCCCTTGCTTTGTTTTTGAGACGAGATCTTACCATGTAGCCCAGGTTGGCCTGGAGATTGTGCTCTTCCTACCACTGCACCTGGCCCCATTAATGTCTTAAAGATGCTAAAAACCTCAGCCAGCTCCTCTGCAGGGGAGCGTTTATTATTATTATTATTATTATATTATTATTATCCTCTTTTTCCTTCCCTCTTCCTTCCTCCCTCCCTCTTCTTTCTTTTGTTCCTCCTCCTCCTTCCTCTTCTTTCGTCGTCCTCTTTTTTTTTTTTTTTTGGTTTTTTGAGACAGGCTTTCTCTGTGTGACAGCCCTGGCTGTCCTGAAACTCGTTTTGTAGACCAGGCTGGCCTTGATCTTTATAAACAGAGACCCACCTGCCTCTGCCTCCCTAGTGCTGGGATCAGAGGTGTGGGCCACCATGCCTGGCTTAAGGGGAGCATTCTTAATCTGATGTCCCAGGATGTTTACTGTTCAGCACTGAGTTAACTTTTTTTCACCTTTTTTTTTTTTCCTTTCAAGACAGTTTCTCTACATAGCTTTGGCGCCTTTCCTGGAACTCACTCTGTAGCCCAGGCTGGCCTCGAACTCACAGAGATCCGCCTGCTTCTGCCTCCCGAGTGCTGGGATTAAAGGCATACGCCACCACCAACCGGCCTGAGTTAACTTTTGAGACAAGGTCCTCAGCTAAGCCTTGCACTTGCTGAGATCCTCCTGCTTCAGCTTCCTAAGTGTGGGGACAGGCCTAGACCTAGACCTGGCCTTGAGGTTGTTTGGTTGTTTTTAGACAGGGTCTTCATTATGTAGCTTGAACTCAGAGATCCCCCTGCCCTTTGCCTTTCAAGTGCTGGGGTTATTATTTTTATTTTATTCTTTTGAAATACTGGTGATTGAACCCAAGGCCTCATACATTACATGGGTGCTGTTCTACAGAGCTACAGCCTCAGCCTTTTCATTTTTTCTTAGTTTGGATAGTGTGAAACTTGGTTGATCCTCCTGCCTCACCGTGCTCTGCCATGTCTGACTTCTGTTTTAACTTTCAGTTAGGTGATATAGGATCTCAGCAAGTTTCCAATGCAAGCCTTGAACTTTTGATGCTCCTGCCTCAGCCTCCTGAGATGCTGAGATTAGAGGCCTTTGCTACCAGGCCCAACTAACTCTTTTTTTTTTTTTTTTTTTTTTTTTTTTGGTTTTCCGAGACAGGGTTTCTCTTGTGTAGCTTTGCGCCTTTCCTGGATCTCACTTGGTAG